ATGTCATGGAGTACAATCCAGACACTGGGAACTGCTACATTCCTGGACTCTGGAATGGAAACCCACCAATGGCACCAGTTAATGCAGGATACAGTGAGGCTGTCTATGAGCTCAAGAAAAACATCATCCAACAGCTGGGAAAGTGTGGGTCAACTTCTAATAACATCTTGGAGTTCAGAGAGTGGATTAGCAGCCTGTGGAACGCAGTAAAACATGAAAAATTCAGCTTCAGAAACAGTCTGGTAGCTGATCCATACATGAGGCTCTGCACAGAGTACAACAAATGGGAGTGGGAGTTCAAAAAAGAAATGTACACCTGGGTTACCAATGCAGAAACTAGAATTTCTAATTTTGGTACAGCTGCTGCAACATCTAACATATCTGACATGGAGAACTTTATCACTGTGTTGGAAAGTGAAGCAGTCACAGAGCTGATCAAGTTGGAATCAATTATTCTTGAGAACCTGAAGAAATACTTTGAGCAGCCAGAAGGTCATGTTTACCTGGTTGAAGGATACAGAGAGGAATTCTCTAACAGCACAAATAGTCTTAGAGGACAAACTGAAAGATCGGTGTTTAAGCAGCTCAGAGTAGCAGCGGACATCAAACAGGGAAAACAAGAACTGGATATAATTAAGACCAGCTATACAGAACAAATTGAAAAAGCAGTTTGTGCTTTAATTGATGAGTGCAGAAAGAAAAAAGTTAAAATGACAGACAGAGAACTAGAGGACAGTTTTAATAGGATGTGGACTAAAACATTGAACACCTTGACTTTTGCTGCACTGCAGATTTTAAATGTCTATGATAGGGTTTACCATCAGCTGTCAATAAATCTTGCACCCAAAGGAAGCCATGCATGTGAACTGCTAAGTAAGAAAAGACTTCAAGACTGTGGATTGAAGCCTTTTACATACAAACCTAAAGGAGTGCAGAAAAACATGAAAGCTGCTTGGGAAGGATTGTGGTCCTGGAAGGATATAGTAAAGGAGAGACAAAAAAATGCAGACTGCATCATATCTGCTTGCAGTGAATTTGTGTTAAGAAAAATGGAAAAGAAAACAAATTATCATGATACTTATATCCAGGAGATTCTTCACATCATTGATGAGAAGCTGTACAATGATGATGTTAACAGCGACATTGAGTTTGAGGTTTCTCTGAAGCAGCACATCTGTGGATCTGCTGCTAGAAAGTTTAAAAAGATGCATGAAGATTTTATACAAGAAAATGATCCTAAGAGATGTCTGCAG